GTGGAAACCAAGGACCAGCCCACGTGTTCCCAGCTCGGCAGAGGTTGGGGGCTTCGGCTGGGGCTGGTGCCTGCGGAGACGAGCTCCCGTGGTGTTGGGAGGCGCACAGCAGGGAAAGAGTCAGGCCAGGTGGGGGTGAGGGCACAGTGGTGAGCCTGGAAACCCCACTGGCTGTCACTCACAAGACGCCCCAGGCAGGCAGGTGGGGATCCCTGTCCTGCATCCACAGGACACAAGTGGACAGGGTCTCTCCAACATAGTCCCTGAACCAGGACAGAGAGGGAATGAACGGCCAGTTTCTGTAGCTGCAGAAGGAGCGCCTACTGTTTCTAACACCAGCAGCAGAAAGCGCTTCCTCCTGTCCTGGGTGGCTACAGGAGCAGGGCCTGCCAGGGGTTCAAGCACCACTTTCTACTTCTAGTTGGAGCCAGGGCAAAAAGGGGAGTCACCCAAAGGCTCAGTGCCAGAAACAGGGGCATCCCCCTGGCTGCTCAGGCACAGGACCCTGCAAATCTCCCACAAGTGTCAGTTATGCCTCCTTCTAGTTGGACCTCAAACAAGATAATGCCCAGTAGGGCAAGAGTGGCTGAAACCCACCATGACGAAACAACAGGGCAGAGCAAGCAGCCCTCTGGGCCCCGCGCCGCCAGCACACCTCGCTTATCAGTCTCAAACACGCCGCCTGCTGCCAGCCCTTCCTTGTGGGGCGCCTGGGGTTGTAGTATCAGCTCTGCGAGGAGGAAACAGGGAAGCTTCGGGACCAAGTGGCAGCTGTCTGGCCTGCGGGACGCCTGCCTATTGCAAGACTCCGTGTGCCAGGAGATGCCACACAAAGGAATGCTTCCCATCCCTCCGGCTCTGTCAGCCTTCCCTGCCCTGCGTGTTTCCCCTGTGCTGACCACTACTGCAGCCAGGGCGCACCCTCTGAAGGCTCCAAGCAGGGCTGGCTGGGCAGCCTGGGCAGCAGGATGGCCTGGTGGCAGCTGGGCTACACTCCCTCTTAGGGCCAGAGGAAGCCACCACTTGCTCTGGCAGCCACTCAGGAACCCCTGAGGATCCTGAGAAACCTCCAACCAAGGCACTACTGAGCGTGGCGCTGGGAGGGATTCTAGTTGCCCTGGTTCACAGGTGGGCACTACCGAGCGTGGGGTTGGGAGGGACTGGTTGCCCTGGTTCATAGGTGGGAAGGGTGGTTTCTGAAGGTGTTGGGTGAACCTGAGATAGAAAGACTGGAAAAATACAGGATCATCAGTAGCCCTCCTGGGCTTCCCTGCCTTCCTCCTGCCAAACCTAGGAAGGGAAAGGGGAGGAGAGGTGGCCAGCCTCAGCGCTCCCATGTTCCCCTCGCCACAGCTGGGAACACTAAGGTTCCCTTAGGAGCCGCGGCTGGGGCACACGCCACACAGTCACCTGACGGCTGCTGGTTATATTGGGCACCAAGCGTCAGGCACTCCTTGGCCTGGCTTTAAATAGCCCGCTGGGAAGACCGGCTGGGGAATGGCTGGAATGCGCGTCCTCCTCTTTAGAGAACAGGAACCCCCTGTTCCCCCACCTGTTCCATGAAGGTTCAGTCGCGGGCTTATGCTCCAAATGACAAGAGATCAACTGCAAAACAAAGGGGGTCCTGGGGTTCCTCTCCAGCTCTCTGGGGGCAGAACAGCCACATCCAATGGTCCCACTTCCGCTCACTGTGTGACAGGATATCGTCTGAGTACCCCTGGGTCAGACCCCAGGGCTGGGTGAGGCTGGCCATGCCTGGCTGGCAAATTCAGCCTCCAGTCAGCCCCCTAGGGAAGCCCTGGGCACAAAGCTATGCCACTATCCACAGCCGCAGCCTGCTGCTGCTGGGAACGGACACTTTTCCCAGCTGGGGGCCGGGGTCCACCCGGCATGAGTCTGCAGCTCTCCCACTTTGCAGACCCTGGAGGCTGGCCAGAGCTCCTCAGCAACAAACCCCACTTTTCCTGAACCAGTAAATTTAGCCTCAGTCCAACCATCTTCCTCCCTGTTCTGGTGAGCATGACCCCAGGTCTCCATGCCACTTCTCGCTCATAAGGAAAAGCTCCCCCCGCTATCTCTCCCTGCCCGCGTCCTCTTTTAAGGAGTGTCTCTGCTGGGCTACACGAGGCTGTGTAGGCACAGTGCCAATCAAGCTGAAAACGCCAGACCAAGTGCAGAGAGGGAGGGGAGAAAGGCAGCCGAGCTCCTGAACCATGCACCAACTGTCCCGTAAGGGACACTGTCGGCATTGTCGTCCCTTTAAGAATGACGGAACCTGGAAAGCTAGGAGGTACCGGACCAAGAGGGGACCACTCTCCTTGTGCAAGCCTGCTCCACCTGGCCAGAGGGAATGTCCCATTCGGTCTGACCAGAGGGGTCAGTCCTACGCTCAGGCTGGCTAGGCACACAAGACCTGTACCTGTGGTGACAAAGACTCCAGGTAGTCTCAAAGGGCCTGGTGTGGCCCCGGCCTGGTGGTGATATGCTGATAAAAGCAGCTTCAGATCCACAACGTGGGCTGGGGCTGGCCGAGCACAGCCGGTTGGCTTCCAGGGGGCTCTGGGCCCTGGCTGCTATACTGAGCCCACTGCAAGGGCAGTGCCCTCAGGGGGGCTGCTCCTGGCTATCTTGCTGGTCTAAGCTGGAGACAGGCCTCCATGGGGAGATAGCGTGGGGCACCAGTGGGGGTGCTGGCTGAGGCCCTGTCCTGCTGTGTAACCTCAGAGAAGCTGCTTGCTCTCTTGGGTCTCAGTTTCCCCATGTGTAGAAGGAAGGAGGTGGGAATGGATGATCTGTGGCATTCTAGGACCCTATGCCTCTCAGTACATTTGAAAACTGAGATGCTCACCTCTGCAGAAATGCAGTCACTCCAGGTGAGGTGTGAGAAGCTGGGTGGATCTAACTCAGGGAACCTCCTGCTTTTGACAGGAACTCACCTAATTTTCCACGGAGCCATCTTCTGCCTGCCACTCTCATTGTCACTTAAAAAAACAGCTCCCAAGGCCAAGCGCAGTGGCTCACATCTGTAATCTCAACACTTTGGGAGGCCAAGGAGGGCGGGTTACCTGAGGTCAGGAGTTCGAGACCAGTCTGGCTAACATGGTGAAATCCCGTTTCTACTAAAACTACAAAAATTAGCTGGGCATGGTGGCCTGTAATCCCAGCTACTCGGGAGGCTGAGGCAGGAGAATCACTTGAACCCGGGAGGCAGAGGTTGCAGTGAGCTGAGATCATGCCATTGCACTCTAGCTTGGCCAACAAGAGGGAAACTCCATCTCAAAAAAAACCAAAACAAAACCAAAACCATAGCTCCCCACCTCCAGCTTGCCTGCCTTCCTTCAGGGCACACACCACAGACATCCTAGGACAGGCACCTAAAAGGTGTTGGGAGTGCTAGTGACGGTGCACGGGGGTGACAGCCCCCAAAGCCAGTGAGAGTCCTCCCAGGGGGGCATTCTCATGTGCTGGGCACCGCCCCCGTGGCTGTCTACAACATGCTGCTAGATGGTCAGTCCTCCCAACAGCCTCAAAACATGAGCATCTCATTCCATATCAGAGACATGAAGCAATCTGTTCATGTCACAAAAGGAAGACGGAAGTGGCATTCAAGGAGGAGCAGCTGAAAACACTAGAGCAGGCCCCTGGCAGAGAAGGAAATCCAGAAGGTACATGCCGGCTGCCATCTTCCTTCTGAAGGACTATGAGGCAGAAGAGGGGGCAAGGTCTAAGTGACCACAAGTGGGACTAACTGGGGGCCAGCAGGGAGTCCGACCTTCTGCAGTAGGTGGGCTGCCTCAGCAGGCGGGGGTTCCTCACCATCCTGGGTGCTAATGCAAACGCCACATGGCCTCAAGGATGGCCGCAGGCCAAGTGCAGGGTGGAGGGCTCTGTTTAATGACCTTCACGGTGGTTCTAAACCAGCTCTGCTAAGGCAGCAGCACTGGGAGTGACCGGCCTCACTGACTGCAGCCATCCCAGCGAGAACCGGCTGAGACCCGGGGTTAGGCAATGATCATTACAGGGGCACGAGCCCCTGGCCACCTGTCCTCACCACCACCCTGGATTAGAGCAACTGCCTTGGTGAACAGGATCAGGCTGGGCTGGGACAAGGCTGTCTCTGGCCCCTCTCTGAAGAGGCACCAGCTCCCTCATGCCCACAGGAGAGGCAGAAGGGGAAAGCGGCTCAAAGACACAACAGCCCGACGGCCTCAGCCTGGAGCTGCACCTTGGGCCTCTTGGGCACCCTGAGACAGGAAGAGGCTCTTCTGGGGCAGGGCTGGGAGTGGAGAGGACTTTCCTGGTCAGGCCAGAGAAACAGATGAAGCCAGCAGGGGAAGGGCGGGCTTGACATCCTGGGCCTCCTGACCCCCTCCCAACAGACAGGACAGAAACCCTGGCAAAACCTAGAGGGACACGGTGCAGCCTCCTGCCTCCGGCAGAACACGCATGAGTGCAGAAACTGGGCTGGTGGGAGAGGCTGGGCAGCCTGGGAGACAGGGGGGCAGTTTTCACCTCTGACTGACCCTGGCCAGAAGCCCCATGAACCTGCTCTTGGGAGAACCTGCTCCTTCTGTCCCCACATTGATGGAAGGCAAGATAACCAGTTTGGCATCCTATGCCAGTCTCCCTACCCCGAGGGGACCCAGGTGCCAAGAGGGAGCTGTGCCAGTCCCAAGCACCTGGGCAAAACCTAGGAGTGGTACCTCAAGACAAGGGAACGGAACAGCGAAGACAGAAACCACCACCAGCTTCAGCCTTGGCTGGCAGCCCCCGAAGCAAGCCCTTGGTCTCACTGTCCTCACCAGTTTCCTCCACCCTGAGCTGTGTCAGCTGGGTGGGGACTGAGGGCCACCACTAGGTGGAAGTCACCAGGGGTGCAATGTGCGAGACCTGACAAACTTGTTCTGCGGGCTGCGGATGGGTGCGAGGGTGGAATCTCAGTGCTGCGGCGAGTGTGGGGCCAGCCGTGGAGGCTCCAGGTGTTCTCTCTGCCCCAGCACAGCCCGGCAGGAGCCCCGACAGGAAGCCAGCGCAGCATGGCCGCCACCGACTTCGTGCAGGAGATGCGTGCTGTGGGTGAGAGGCTGCTGCTCAAGCTGCAGAGACTGCCCCAGGCTGAGCCCGTGGAGATCGTGGCCTTCTCAGTCATCATCCTTTTCACAGGTTAGTTGGGGCACTCAGAGCCCTATGGCTCTCCCTGGCATCTGGGAGCGACCACACCATGGTGCCAGCCACAGGGCTGGCAGAGGTGGCAGGTGTCTCCCGGATCAAGGAGGAAAACCAGTTGTCCTTTGGGGGAAGCCAAGGGAGTTCCCTCATCCTCTGATATGCTGCTTGGGTGATGGGTGGTGCTGGGGACTGGGCCCCGCAGTACCCCGGGATCCCAAACACGGGGATGATGGGAGCCAGGCTTGGGCAGCGAAACAGAAGATACAACATGGAGGAGGTTGGTCCTGGCGGCTGGCATGGGGACCGTCAACACCTCTCACCAGCCTCTCAGGTCTTTCTGACCTCTCCACCAGACCTGTGGGGAAAGACCCTGGCACGCAGTGGGTTTCTCTGGGAGGAGGACGGGCATCCTTTCTCTCCCCAGCCTGAGTCCCGTGCTCTCACCCGGCCCTCCAGCCACTGTTTTGCTGTTGCTGCTGATAGCCTGCAGCTGCTGCTGCACTCACTGCTGCTGCCCTGAGCAGAGAGGCAGGAAGGTCCAGGTGCAGCCGACACCACCGTGACAGACAGGGGATGGCTGAGGAGAAGCTGGAGAGGAGATGACCAACGCTATGACACAGGCCATCAGCCTGGCCCTGCAGCCCTCACCCCTCAAAACCAGGCTCCCCTGGCCCCAGCTTTGGCCCGGCCCAGGTACCTGGACACTGACAACTTGAGCCCTACCAAGGAAACCAGGGCTGGTATAGGTGCAAACCTCTCATCTGCCAGTGGACACTGGGTGCTGGGGAGTCAGCTGTTTCAAAGACTGGGTCAACTGCCTGGGCTTCTTCGCCTACCTGCACTTTTTAACAAAACAAGGAAGTAGGGGTACCCATACCTTGATGGAGAACAGCCCCCACCTGTGGGCAATTGGCCCTTGGGGCTCTGCTGATCCATGCCAAAGAGGAGCAAGGCAATCAGAGGGGCTTTGTGCAATAGCTTCTGCACCCGAGCTCCTGCCACAGCGTAAGCATGTCAGTATTCTAGTCCAGTATTTGCCGGTTTCCAAGTAAAAGCTTTTGTGTTATGTTTCTGCGGTGCCGGACTCCCTAAGGTTGGGCTGGGCTCTGTGCATCGGGAGTGGGTATAGCTGGTGCCTGTCCTTCCCAGGCCTCTGCTTTCCCTGTGCCCACAAAAGCTGGAAAACCACGCAGAGAAGCGTGCCACACAGGCGGTAACACCACGGGACCCGTGGATGGTGCCATGAAATTCCTGTCATGCATCAGCTGCTAATGAGCTCTGCCAGGCCGAGGCACTACTCTGCAGTGGCAGAGACTGTGTTTGCCCAAAGGCAGGAGCTAGGCTCAGGAATGGCACTTCAATCTGTCCACTGCCTGCACCTTTGGCTTGCACACCCCACACTTTCCAGAGAACTTTCCAGGTAGAGCTACGAACCCAGGAGTGAGGGGAGGCTCCAGAAATGCCAATGGGTCCAGACAGAGCATCCTGAGGTGCCTCCCCGGGGCTTCCCCAGAGCCACGAGAAGTCTGTGTTTTTCACATGCTTCCATCATCTTGGCCTGCGACCTGGGAGCAGAGCCCTGTCTACCTAGGAAACATGTCATGGAGAGGGGAATGCCAGCCACTGTCACACCCCCGCCATTTCCAGCTGGCAGTCCAGGCCACACTGGCAACAGCAGGCAGGGAGGGGAAGCTCTCACCCTCTGGTTTCACTTTCTAGTGTCCATGGACTTGTCTGACAGGTTTAGGTTAAAGACCTGGAGAGTAAATGTTTTCATACAAAAGAAAAGAAATTCAAAAATTTGCCCATTCTCAGCCCCCTCCAAAGAACAGGATTCAGAATAATGATGATGATGATGATGATGATGATGATGAGGAAGATGGCTAAATTTACTGAGGGGTTACACATACTCAGCATTGTCTTCAGCATTTTGGTGCAGATAAACTCATTCACTCATCACAGTACCTCCACGTTGAAGATACCACTGTTACCCCCATTTTAGAGATGAGGAAACTGGGCCTCAGCAATGCTGGGTGACTTGTCTAAGTTCAACCAGCTGAAAAGCAGCAGAGCCTGCCTGAGTCCAGCCTATCTGGCTCCAGAGCCTCTGCTTACCACACCCAGGGCTCCAAGACCCAGAACTTGGCCTCCTGGATGCAGGACAGATAATGCTCTAATCCCATTATCCTCCATCGACCAACCCTATACCAAAAACACCCACACCCCAAACTCTGTCTCAAAATAATCTTCACAGGAGTGGGTGGGACCCAACAGGTAAGAGCTGGGGTGGTGCCCAATGAGGCACCCCTCCCAGAAGAAAAACACAGGACAGTGGATGGACAGGAAACCCCGCATTTTTCATTCCCAGCAGCAAGGGCTGGGGGGTCTCCGGAAGCCTTCTGTTTGAGAGATGGTCAACAGGGAAGCAGCCTGGGTAACTTTTCCATAAGCCAGTTTTCATCAGCATAAGAATAGCCCTGCTCCAGGGCAGCTGAGGCTGAGGCCCTTTGCTAGAAAATATTCTGCTTCCCCAGCCCAGCTGCTCCAGGTGGGAACCACAGACAGCCCCGGACACGGACAGGCCGAATGGCCGCTCCAGGGCAGGCGGTACACAACTGCT